GGTCCTTTCAGTTTGAAATCAACATCAGGCATGGAAATATTTGGCCCTGAGATGCTTGGCATTTTGAATTTGGGTCCTTTGATCTTACCACTTGGGCTCTCCAACTCAACTTCTGGTCCTTTGATGTCTACTTTGGGTACAGCTATGTCCACTCCAGGTTCAGGGAGGCTAGCATCAAACTCTGGCCCTTCAATTTGTGGACCTTTGAATCCAAAGGAAGGCATCTCAATTTTTGGCATTTTGAATCCAGGTTTCTGGACATCAATGTCCATATCTGGTCCTTCAAGATCTATTTTGGAGCCTTTTATGTCACCCTCAATCTTTGGAACATCGCCCTTTACTGATGGTCCTTTAAGGCTAAGATCCCACTCAGGGAGCTTGGGGCCAGACAGTGTTGGAAATTTGATATTGGGGCCTTTCAGTTTTGCATCCGGACTTTTAATATTAACCTTTGGGGCATTGATGTCAATTTCAGCTTTAGGAATGCTAATATCAATATCTGGACCCTTAATTTTGGGGATTTTGATTTTGGGAATGTCCAAGTTACCCTGAGGTCCTTCAAATTCTGGACCTTTGATGTCAACATCAGGTATTTTTAGGTCCCCTTCAATCTTTGGAACTTTAAGGTTCACATCAGTGTCAGTTTTTGGAGTTTTTAAATGTATGCTCTGAACATTAATATCTGCACCTGACATTTCAGTTTTTGGGCCTTTGATTCCAAATTTCGGCATTTTAAATTTTTGACCTTTTATTTTTGCACCAGATGGCCCCAGTTCGACATCAAGGCCTTCAGAACTCTTTGTTTTTCCTTTCATGCTCACATCTCCATGAGGTAATTTAATATCTGATTCAGGAGCCTTTACCTTAGGACTTTTAAATCCAAATTTTGGCATTTTGAATTTTGGTTTCTTCATGCTGATTTCAGGAACATCAATATCTGGGACTTTGACGTCAATGTCTGCTTTTGGTATGCTCATATCAAAATCTGTACCATGCATTTTCGGTCCTTTTACGTTGACAGTTGGCATCTTCACCTTGGGCATTTCAAATCCACCTTTTGGCCCTTTAATATCAACATCTGGTGCTTTGATGTCAATGTCAGCTGTTTTAATTTCTCTCTCTAGTTTTGGAACTGACACATCAACGTCTCCTTTAACTCTTGGGCCCTTTAGACTCAAGTCCACATCCGGCATTGAGAGCTTGGGACCTGGCATGGTGAATTTTGATCCTTTTATTTTTGCATCGGGACCTTTAATGTCAAATTCTGGTGCCTTCACATCAATCTTTGGCAAATTCACATCAATGTTTCCTTTAGGAAGAGTTACATCAACATCTGGACCCTCTATTTTCGAACCCTTGATGTTAAAAGTTGGCATCTTCATCTTAGGCATTTCAAATCCACCTTGTGGCCCTTTAATATCAACGTCTGGTGCTTTGATGTCAATGTCGGCTGTTTTAATTTCTCCCTCTATTTTCGGAACTGACACATCAACGTCTCCTTTAACTCTTGGGCCCTTTAGACTCAAGTCCACATCTGGCAATGATATCGTGGGACCTGAAATTGTTGGCATAGTGAATTTGGGCCCTTTCAGTTTTGCATCTGGGACTTCAATGTCAAGTTCAGGTGATTTAATGTCAACTTCCGGTAGTTTGACATCAATATTGCCTTCAGGAAGAGAAACATCTACATCTGGGCCTTCAGCTTTTGGACCCTTGAGGCCAAATGATGGAAGTTTAAATTTAGGTATCTTGAATCCACCCTTAACGCCTTCAATGTCAACATCTGGTCCTTCAATGTCCACTTTTGGTGCTTGAATGTCACCTTCAATCTTTGGAACTGGAATGTTCACATCTCCCTCCAATTTAGGACCTGTTAGATTGAGATCAACGTGTGGAATCTTTGGTGCCTTTATATTTGGGATCTTGAATTTTGATCCTTTTATTTTTGCGTCGGGGCCTTCAATCTCAAATTCTGGTGCCTTCACATCAATCTTTGGCAAATTCACATCAATGTTTCCTTTAGGAAGA